AAGGTATTACTGGGAGTTTTGGGTTTACTGAGGAAGGGCACAGGGTGGGCAAGTCAGGCAGAGATGCAAAAGAAGACACATCTTCAGGCTTGAGAGAGAAAAAGGCTTTGAATGAACTGAAAAGGACACTTTACTGGTGATGAAGTTTGGGTTCACTATGGAGATTTTCATAACAGAGAGAGGCTGTCCTCTTCATATTATTACTGTCCACATGAAGAGAGCAACAATGGAGTAGGAAGGATAAGTGTGCACACACACACATACAGATCAATTATTTTATCACTACCCTGAACGGCATTGTGAATAATTTTTCTGTTCTTAAATTTGGATTAGAGATGGGGACAAGTGGCCAAAATGGTTTGTTGTGGTTTGTGGTTCATCAAGGTTGAGAATGCATGACCCATAAATTTCTCAGGGATTTCCAAAAAACCACAAATCAGTTTGCCAGTTCGTGGGGGGGTAGACAGTCTGTGGTTGTCTAAAAAAAAAAAAGCTGAGCTCCCCACCCCCATCTCCTTGGCCTGCCAGTGGAGGTGATGGTGGTGACAGCGGTGGAACGGAAGCTAGGCTGCTAGAACAGAAATGGTGGTTTCTGCCAGCAACCCTGCTTTCTCTGCCTCTGCAGGTGCAGATCAGCTGATCAACACCTGCAGAGGCAGAGAGATCAGGCTAGCCCGCTGACACAGTTGTGGACGGCTAGTCTGCTCTCTCTGCCTATGGTCCCAGCCCATAGGCAGAGAGAGCAGGCTAGCTGGACAAAACCATGCCAGTGGGCTCTTTCTGCCTCTGCCGGCATTGATCAGTGGATCAACACCCTCAGAGGAAGAGAGCTCAGGCGTGCCTGTTGGAACAGTTGTTTCCATTCTGGTAGCCTAACTTCCATTCCAGCAGCAACAACAATGGTGATAGCAGCAGCAACAGCAACAGGACACGGTAAGGAGGAAATGAGAGGGAATGGGAAGGGGGCAGGGGTGGGTTATAGGGGCAGAGAGAGCAGGCTTGTTCAGCAGGCCCATAGGCAGAGAAAACAAACTAGGCTGTCAGAACAGATGTTTCAGCAGCCTAGCAGCCTAGCTTGCTCTTTGGGCCCAGGCCCAACAAAGGGATGAATAAAACGGACAAATATTCATCAATTTGCATTAGTAAGGGCCTCTGAATTGACAACCTAGTGGTTCGAAAGCATGCAAATGCAAGTAGATCAATAGGGAACACCTCGGTGGGAAGGTAACAGCGTTCCGTGTCTAAGTCGCACTGGCCATGTGACCATGGAAGATTGTCTTCAGACAAAACGCTGGCTCTATGGCTTGGAAACAGGGATGAGCACCGCCCCCTAGAGTCGAACACGACTGGACAAAAATTGTCAAGGGGAACCTTTTCCTTTACCTTTACCTGAATTGACAAATACAAAGTGATGAATATTACACAAATCAGCAATTTCTGACTAATATCACAATTTTATTTATCCCCATGTCTAATTTCAATTATTCCAATGAGATTTTCCCCATCTGAAGTTTGATCCATCTCACAGTTTGAAATTATAAAATTTGCATGAAAATACATATGCATTTTGTGCTCATTTCTACATTGTATGTGGTTTTGCTTTATAGAAACTTTTTTGCAATGAATTTTCCTGATATATCATATTTTCCTGCATTATTGTATTTCCATGTTATTTTCATGAATTTTCATAAGCTGTGCATATTTTAATGAATTTTTATTGATTAACTTCATTGCAAAATTCAAAGAAGTGAAAACTGCAAAAGATAACAATTTTGTTTCATATATTGGTTTGAAAGTGCAAAATAGGTAAGTATGAATTAAAATATTGTCTAAATTCATCCCTCTGTTATATCATTACTTATTAGAACATACAGGGATGTTTTTATGAAGAAAAACTTTTTTTAACATTTTGAAACCCCATCTATCTTTGCCTATTGGATTGTTGACAGTTTGGCTTAAGCCATGCTTTTTATGAGTGTTCTATCTCAACATATGTAACTGTGACATTCTGTATTTTCAAAAGTGGGAGGAGATGAATAATCAATTACCTATTTCTTATCCCAGAATTAAATGCAAGCAGTAACCTGCATAAAGTCTATTTCTACGGCAGATCTGACTCTAACCATTAGCTCTTGGCTTTTCCTGAGTCTGTTTCTTTCTATGAAAAGATGGAAAAAGGAGTTTCCAAAAGATGTTTTTGCTGCCTGACAATGATTGCCTCTTTGCCTACAGAAAACGTGAAAGGAAGGGTGTTTTTCATGGCTTAATGTCTTCCTTTTTCTTTCTGGTTGTTTCATCGGAAGAAAAATGTACCATCTTTAAAAAGGAATCAAACACAGTCTTAGGGAGCAGCAAGATGAGGATTTATTTGTTCTGCTGTTTGTCTCATGTTTCTCAGTGTTCCTTTCAATGATTATTCTGTTGACTACATGGCATCAGCACTAGTTGTGAGCAGAGGGCCTTCTCCGTTGCTGCTCCCAGATGCTGGAACTCCCTCCCACAGGAGGCCAGGCTGGCCTCATCTTTGCTGCTCTTCCACAAGCAGGCAAAAGTCCTTGCTCTTCAGGCAGGCTTTCCTTACAGTGACTGGCAGCCTGAGTGGGGATTTTTCTTTTAATGGGTTGTGTGCCTTACTGCTTTGGATGTGTTTTTGGTGTTGATTTTTGTTTACCGTTACTTAGAGCGGTATTTGTTTGGTCGTTTTTCAAGTTTGTATACTTATTTAGCTTTTAATGGCTTTTAATGATGTAAGCCACCAGGAGTCATTTTTTAAAGGAGAAAGGCAGGTTTAAAATATTTTAAATAAATAAAATAAATAAATACTTCTGTTTTGTGTAATAGGGGAAAATTGCCCACCAAACAACAGTTAATACTAGCTATTCTGGCTTCTATTGATTTTTTTTAACCAGTGCATCATCTTCAATTAATCTCCAGCTTTGCTAATGTAAGGAGCAATACATGCTTTCTTTTGCTTACTTCCTTTTAAGACATCCAAAAGTTTTGTTTAGTGCCAAATACACATGTGAAAAACAATTGACTTCATACTTTAAAAAGAGAGTTTGTTCTTGCACCTCATTATGTGTTTTGGTGCAAACAATAGTCTTTTGTGTTGGTGGGAAAACAACACTGACTAATCTTCCAGGTGCTGCCTGCACCATTATTTTAATATTATTATACGTTGCTGACAGGCCTTCTACTGTGCCCCATCCAAAACCTCTCTTTTCCCACTTCCCCCCCCCTTGCCCTGATGGCCTAGGGGGTTGAAATGTTGGTTGAAAGGGTTGCA